ATCTGATGTTTATTATGATCTTCAAATAACGTTGGAATATTTTAAAAATCTTATAGTAACACCACACTCTCATTTCAAATAGATTCCAAAAAAATATTAAACTATTCAAAGTTCAACTGATTAATAAATAGTTGATGAAGAGAGAAATGCACGATAATCACAAGAAACGATCTCCAAGGATCGAAATACGAACCGTCACCAGAAATGAATATGAATGGAATGTATATACATAGAGTAAAATAATGCATGTTGTTTTATGCTTTTTCACGTGCTTTTCTTGCGCTCTTGCACAATTCTTTTCCACATGTTCGTCGAATAATTATATCAATAACAAAAAATTCTTTCTATAGAGAAACTGTGATTTGTTCGATTTGATCAGACAATTTCAAACATTCTCTAAAATCCGCCACGCCATAGAGAATAAGTGGAAGAATGTGATCTAATTCACTAAACGATTATTAAAATTGATAAACGATCTCGAGTAATTCATGACAAATGTTCATATTTTTCTCACGCGATTCATTTATTTCACGAGTTAGAATTGTTTGGAAAGGGAAAAAAAACACGCGCACGACACATGCATCACAACTGCAGACTGACGACTGAGCGATAAACTGTTCTTGATTGGCTTAATATAGTCGGACGAGCGCTGTAATTGGCCGCTCCTTGCCGCGCGGGAAATGATTGGTCAATTTAATCCTAGAAGCACGGTGCATTAAGCATTCAACCAGCGTTCAGTACCTATTAACGGTTCGCAAGAGAGGCACTGCCACTGCCACCGCTATGGTTTTCTGTGACGGTACACCCAGTCACGGTAATGGTATATGGTTCTTTCTTTATCATCTCCCACATACTATGGTCTCCGAACCTCTCCCCGTCTAACTCCGTCTTTCTCTCTTTTTTCTCTCTTGCCATCGTTCCAAATCAATTTACCAATTGAAATCAGTGCCGGACAGTGAAGAATCGCGTCACTGAATGGTCCACCAACCGACGGGCAATGTGCGTCTCCCCTGTGCCTTCCTTCCACTGCTTGTTATCAAACCATTCACCAGCTCACCAAATCCTTATTGCCTTGCCTTGGCGCACGATTTGAATCGCGCGGCTGATAACTATTCGCTAGATAGATTCTCTCTATGACAGTGTTTTTCAACCTTCACTTGGTTTGAAATAGAATTATTAGCAAATGGAAATTTAAATTTAATGCGAAAATATATGAAAATATAAAATAAAAACAATGATCAATATTAAAATTAATTTAAAAATTCATAAGAAAAATTTTTTTTCGAATTTAAGATAATGATAAGTTATACTAAATTTTTTAAATTAAAATTTTTTTAATTTAATTATAATCTGTTTCAATAATTA